ACACACACACACACACACACACACACACACACACAGACACACACACATACTTACAAGTATGACATGTTGCTCCAGTGTATCCAGTTCCATCACAAGTACAGCTGAAGCTGTCCCAGGTCTGTTTACACCGACCACCATGTTCACAATGATTGGGCATACATCTAGAGAGAGGAGGACAGCAATAGCACTTTTACAGGAAATGTTTTCAACACTTGTTGCTTTAAAAACTTGCTTTATAAATAAATACACTACCATTCAATGATCAATATCTGTCACTCAGAAGAGTTCTTATTTTGAAAGGAAAGCACATCGATTTTTATAGATACTTTTTAATGATAGCACCCATCCAACAGCACATTTTGTTACTTAATGCAATTGATCACGGTAAAAAACTTATTGATCAGAAAACAATAAAAGCTTCAACAAAAGCTTTTCTAACTACAAACATTTTTGTACCATGAGTCAGCGTGTGAATGTTAGAAAGTGTGTGCCATCGATAAAACCACTGTATGAACCGTTCTGTGATTAGCTGAATGGGGCTTGAGCCAGAAAGCGCTTTGGGTGCTCAATTGAGTAGAAAAGCGCCATGTAAGTGCCAGACCATTTATCAAATATTTTCTCAAAATGACCCAAACTCACCAGAGTATTTTTGTTCTCCAAAACAAAAGATATCCCATTCTGATTCTTAGTTCTGTTTCCAGCTTTAATTGAACTTAACTATAAAAGAAAAAAAAAGAAGTTGTTCTAATGCGCAGCTGAGCAATGGGACAAATACACTAGAGTCTCTGACTTGGAAACAGATCTCTTACAGAGTCAGATGGTGCTAGGTTGTGAAGAGAGGAGTGGATTATTTTCTTAAAACAAACAAACAAACAAACAAAAAAATTTCTTTGCTTTTTGTTTTGGCAATTTGCTCCTTTTCATAGAACAACAGAATATTCTGGGCTATGGTAATATGACGAATTAACAATTTAATGTGACAAACTTGCGTATGCCCATATAGACATCTCATTAAAAACTGTTTTTTTATAACAGATGATCTAAATTTTGTGATAAACAATGTTAAGGTGCACTATATCTAACTTGTTGAAAAGGAAAGGAAATACATTATTACTTGTAGGTTACATGAACTGTGACCACATTGAGATTTTCTTTAGAAGTCCATTACTATAGGTAGCTACTATCTAAAGAAATACAGGACTGACAGAGTGGCATCCCTATTCATCTGAGACAGAAGTCTTACAATATAATAATAAAAGAATGTGATTCTATGAGTTGAGATTAATGTAAGTTTTATGATTTCACTGACCCGAGGCCCTTGACAGCTACCACACATACCTTTGCAGGCAAAGGATACTAAATATTTATGCTGTAAAAAAGCTGATTCAAAAGGACAAAACCAGTGATAAGATCTAAACCATTCAAACATATCAGTCAGCATGATGATAATTTCTAATAATTTAAAATAGAACTCGGCAAAGAACCTTCGTTCTTTGAATTTCCACATATTTTCTCCCTGTTTGGACTCTTTTCATAACCAATGATGTCGCTATTAGCTTGATAGGTTCAATGAATCTGTCAACATTTCTATTCAAGGTGTTCACAAGAACAAAAGAAAGAAAGTAATGCCTTCACTTGATACCCCCCACCCCCACAGCAATACTTGTGCCAAGACACCCAGTCAGTGAAAGAAAATGCAGGATCTACTGGTGACCTTGGCTAACTGTAAACAATCAGGAATAACTCAGTTTTAATCGGACCATGTGCGACTAAATAAAGTGAGACTGTCAGTGACTACTGAAGTGTGTGTCTGCCTATACTAAAATGAAACATCATTGATTATTGAGTGCACGAGGCGACAGACCTGCTAATGATGCTGAATCTCAGTGTTCCATCTTAGGTTTCTTAACATAAAGCATATTGTTATTGTTAAAATTTAGTCTCTATATTCACAGATGGAAGTAAACAGAGTGTGAACACAGCACTGAGCACACAGCAGTTAAGACATCACAGTTTTTCTTGTTAAAATTTGAATACCAACCCAAATCCCGAGCACATCAAAGTTCTGTAGTTTGATCTGCCTGCAGGCCTGTGGGGATGGATCCCGAGGCACGGGAGGCTTAAAGCGGGGTTTTCCACACACACAGTCACGTATGAGTTATGCGATTAGAATTTTTAAGTCTGCTTACTTGAATGTAATAAAATGGTGTTAGCAGGAAAGCGAGCTGGAGGACAAACAAACACTGACTCGTAAAAGCTGCAGGGGTCCTTTAAAATTCTGAGTTCTTCTCCAGCCTCACTGGCAGTCGGGCAGTTAAGCAGCACAAATATTCCACCTCTGGAGCTAGACATGATGATTACTGCTGTTGTGCACACAATACTGATGAAAGTGACATACTACTTTGGCCTTGTTCACATAACATAGGATAGCTTCACTGACAGCAGAGGGGGTTATAATTGTGGCCATCTTTGGATTTCTTTGTACATTTGGACTCAGTGTACTTGGAAAACGAGGGGGACAGCATGTTCTGTAAAAAAATGAAATAAATAAAATAAATAAAAATCCTGCCTGTCTGCTAGGCTACAAAATATTTGACAAGCATTTGGCTATGTACAAAATCGACCCTGTGGCAGTCTAAAAGCTGTGAAAAACAAACTTTCTAGTGTGACACTAGATTGCACAGCACATTTTTAATGCAAGTAACGCATCTGGAGTGCAGAATGACTCAAATTCCCTGAAATGTTTCTGTCAGCGCATTTCGGGCAGTTTGTCCAAGTAGAGTTAACTTCAAGTGAACGAGCTTACTGCACTAAAGCTTTGACGCCGTGCAGCCCCACGCACAGTTAATTTCCTTTTGCTGCGCAGCTCTCACACATTGGCTCAGCTATGCTCCAATCCCTCCATATTGTGGCCAGTCACATGCGAGGATATAGGATAATATCATTATATGAAAAACAGAGGGAGAGACGGGACAGTTAAGTGGAGCGTGCGTCTGTCCTCTCAGTAAGTGAGTGAGACAGTAGACAGTGGTGAGGAGGGCTGTGCGAGTGCATCGCAAAAACACATAAATATGCCTGACACCCGTAAACGAAGCAGCATCTGGCTTTTTTGTCTCGGTCTCGACTTTGTCTTTGTCTTGACTCAGTCTGTCTTGGTCTTGTCTTGACTACAAGTCTATTCATCAGTGGTGCAGAGGGTATGTTGATGATGAAAGCACTAGCATTAGTGCTAATCTTTTCTGCAAGGCTCCAAAAAGAAAGAAAGAAATAAATCCATGATTCAATTCCAGTTACATCTTTGCAGCATGCTTCTTGTTATGGATAATGCAACATTGTTCTGTTAATTTTCAAGACATTTCCCTAATGTTCCTACTTAATCTAGGCGTTTCCAATCCAGAGGTAATGTTAGTCATTTTTTAAAAAGGTTTGTAGTGGTGTAACATACCGACAAAGGTTAGGTAGATTTGACCTATTTGTGTTGTGCTTGAGTACAAATATAGAGTAGATCGCACCTAACAAATTGTGTACTAATTAGGGTTAGGGTTAATTGTTACATCAATTTCATTGAGTATATTTTTAAAAGTTTGTTTTTACAGTGTAACAAGGTTCAGATAAAGGGCCTTTCACAGAGGGTTGCAATTGACAATCACAAAAGACATTATGCTCAGCAAGCTGTGATCACTCAAGTATACTAACTATATATGCGGCTTTTTTTTCCTGGAAAAAAAAAAGACATTTCGGCAAATTTATGAGCATGTGTGGTTTTATGTGCCTCTGCACTCATTGCCTCGGCAGTATTGCAGAACAACAGTGACATTGTGGGAATTTGCATGGGCATAGCTATGTGTCCACCTGAGAGTGTGTCTGTTAGGTTGTGTGTAGTTTCTGTTTCTTCCACTATCTCACCCTAAACACAATCTCACAGTGGAACGGCATTGATCAAAGGGAGGTCAGACAGGGCTATTGAACTGCCTTCAAAGACATTCTGATTAGTTAGATGGTAACAGTGCACCCATTCATCTTCCATGGCAGAACAAGGCCCACCTCAAGTACTGCAGGGCTTATACAAAACATTTGAAGTAATAGACTTGGGCAATACTGGGAGCACAGAGAGTAGGATAGTTTCATTAAATTTGGAAACTTCTGTGTTAGTTCACGTCCAAAATAAAGTTTTTTGGCCATGGACAGTTTTTTTTTCTCCACCTGTGAAGGCAGAAGTTTTCTGGAGAACTGTCAGCACATCTGCTATTGCATTTTCAATATGCAGCAGCAGGAAGCCAACTTCCAGTGGTCTGTAACACTCTCGGTCACTCATCTTTGTGATCGTTTCCTCCGTACAGTATAGTGTACGTCACATAGAGGCAGTTGCACAGAATTGCACAAAATAAACAGCATCAGTATTCTGTTGAAGTGAAATTGTAACAATGGTGAGTAACATTTGATCAAATTAAAACATAATAACGCAGTCTTCTGGCTGACTCAGTCAATTAGCACCTCTAAATTGGGCATTTGATTGCACAGCACAATGCAAAACAGAGTCAAACAGAGTCAAAATGCAAATTTTGACTTTGTAAGCATTTTGCTATTTACTGGATGACATTTCAAATCAAAATTATTATTATCATTCATATTAGGTATGACACATACTGTGTCATACTCTGCCTCACAGAGCCCCTCCTCCTGACCCCCTCCAGGTACACTGTAAGAATAAACACAATATGAACAAATACAATACGTTTCATTCATTATTGGAGGAGAGTAGGGCACAAAAAGGATTTTTTGACTAGAGTTATAAACTAGGTGGCCTAAACTGCCACAAACACTTTAATAGAAACATTATCTGAAAATGCAAATGCAAAATGACAACACTGACTTAAACAGGATTTTCTGATGAGTCTGCCTGTGTAAGTGTGTGCCCAAGCAGTCGTCTGAACTCAAGATTCCCAGCCAGTCAGACCACTTGTGGCGAACCTAAATTGATCACAATCAAGTAGGGGTACTTGGTGTCTTCTTCGCTCACCAAGGATATCGATGAAGGTCATTGACAAACCTCACCTGAAGACAAATCACTAAATAATACGTGACTAACACCACCGGGATTAAACGTGTCCTCAAAGTTTAAATGGTTTTGCACACAGGCATCAATGCAGGCAAATGTTGCATGGGTGACTGCATGTATGGCGAATCCATTCCAGTGTGTTTGTCTAGTCCATGACAAGGAAATAAATTGAAATGTCAACAAGTTTAATGAATGCTTACAGTGAGCCAACATTGGGAGGTGCTGTGCAGAATTTCCATGTCTGGTATCCTTGGCAATAAAACCGAACTGCATGGCTCATTTTTGATGTTTGATTAAGATTGTTCAATGTTTTCCACTGATAAAATACACACCTCCTTGCACTGTAATTTTCCCCATCAACTATATCTGACAAGCAGATAGGAGACAGCAATACGCTCACATACTTGTTGATTCAAACAGACAAGTGGATGTTTGTGCTATAAGTCTCTGGATCGAAATTCAAAGACTCCACATGGTGCTCTTGTCTAGTATATGATTCTTCCTATTTAAAACCAGTTGATTTATATCAATCATTGCTTTTGTCCTCTGCCCATGCCTGACCCACTCTTACCTGTCTATGATTGCACACATGTCCAGGCTGACATTCTCAAAAGCTCCCATAGTGCCTTTCTCCACAGCATGTAGATCAGCAGGTTGGTCATCAACTAAGACTGCTTGCATGCAGCCTTGAAACGAACGCTGGGTTGGTGGAAACAGTGTTTGCAGAAAATAACCTGGAACCCATACAAGAAACAAACAAAAGAAAAGAAAGTAAAACATTGTTACATAAAAAAATGGCAATTTTCTGCTGACAATTACAGATAGTTGGAAGTGGAAAAAATGCTGTAACTATTTGAGAAAGAACAGAAACAAAGGGATGCATAAAAGCTTGTTTTAATAGTGAAATGAAAGAAGTGGGTGATTGAAAGAATCCTATTATGCTCTCCCTGCAATCTCACGATTTAAAACACACCATGAAAAGAAGACAGTGACATTATCCTTGATGAGCAACAACACACCGGCCAGTGAATGGTTATTGTCCCCTTTTTTAAAACCATGAACCTTCATCACTTGTCTTGTTTTAGAGCTTATCCGCAAGGCCCATTAGACTTAATGCTGGTGCTAAGACTGCAGTAGGCTAGAGGACATACAGATTTTACTCTATACTGTACGTTTATGAGGTACAGGAGTCAATGGCCCGTCCAGAGGTTTCACTGGGCCTTGACTGAAGAGGGGACAAGGCTAGGACAAAACTATACACCTGTGTGTATTTTTTGAACATTCTTTATCTTTTACAAAACTTCACTGATATATGACAGGTTTACATGTACTCTACATGCATGTCTTCTACATGTTTAAATCTGCCTCCGTGCTTTGTGTATAATAGTTGCACAGTATACAGTATAGGAGTGTAAATCTACAGAGCACAGGCAGTCCAACAGCACACGGGTCACTCATAAAACACAACCGCTCAATGACATCTCCATCATCGTGATGATATAAGCTGTCACACTCTCCAGCATGCCTATCAGCTTCAAGGCCAAAGCATCAAAGAGACTTATTATACAAGGCGTGCGCACTGGGTGTGTGTGTGTGTATGTGTGTGTATACATCGACATAATTGTAGTTTATGTCCCTGACACAAAGCATATAAAACAGTAGAAAGTAAACAGTATGTATAAGGGTATGTGTGTGTGCACGTTTGCTGGATTCATCCTGTTCTTCACATCTTTTGATTTTCACCTCCTCCTTCCAAAAAGTTTCTCCTGTCATCCTTGCCATCTGTCTCTTTTCCTGCCACACCTGCCTGGTGTTTTTGTTTTTTTTTTCCAGGGAGAAACAGAGAGAGAGAGAGAGAAAGACAGAGAGGGAGACAGAAAAGGAAGAGAAGATGGGAAACAGAGCAGACTGCAGCTGGCTGGCAGCACTTTGTGTCCTGTGGATAGCTTATAAATGCAAAGGAAATCCAGCTATCCTGACAGTTTGGCAGAATGAGTGGCACCATGCATGAAGCTATGGGTGGATGTATGTATGTTGCTCGGCCATGAAAGCCAGCGGGAGGTTTGTTTCTCTGCTTCTCTTTTCAAGCCACCAACTGAGTGGTTTTTGCAATTAAAGTTCAACACCATATCCGATTAGTTTATTAGGTGTCACTTTATAATTTACTCTTTTGATGCAAAAATACTTTTTTAAGAGCAATAACTGAAATGCACCTGTATTTCTACTAAAACCGGCATGCTTCAGGTGACAGCTGACTTTGGATTAAAAGTTAATCATCAATCAGCAAACAAAAGCAAAAATCTGATATCTAGAAAAAGCTAAATGAATCCAAACATCTGCAAATCACTATTTAAAAGACACAGGTGATCATTTATCTATATGAATGAGCACTATAAATGCTCCTTTTACCATATTGCATATTAAATGATTAATAGATGGATAAATAAGACTCAGAGAGTATGTAGATTTTGCAGTAGCAGAGTTTTAAATAGATTTAAAGTACAGCATTTTATTTTATTATTACTCTAAAGCAATGACCAGACATAACCAATGTTAATATATAGTTACAATTCTGTTTTAGTCTGCCTCCCTGGGAACATTTTTTATTTCCCCAAGAAGCTTCAAGAAAATTAATTTTTTATGATTTTAAAATATGTATCACTGTATGAATGTAATGCAGATATACTCACACAAAGTTCAAGATTCAGACCGCTGTTAGTAGAAAGTCCAACAAAGACAAAACAATTGCTGGAAGCAAAGCAAATGCATCACCATACCTCAATCGATCTTCTAATCTAAATTCTAGATAAGAATAAGCAGTACTTATTTCTCCCTAATTTCAATGTCATTCTTTGCTTTAATTTGCAGTATTACTACAAACAGAAGAACTCTGTTTCTTATAACCCTTCAGAATGTGGAACAACAGCAATAACCCCCTGCAGTCTTGTTGGCACACTATCACAATCCCCCTGTTGGGCCTAAAGAGCTCGTCTTACAATACACACTGGAAAGACCAGCACCAGCTTTCTTCTACCTGTGCACGGCTGGCTCCCAGGCTATGTTTCCAAATCCCATTACATTTAGAGGTATGTGTCTGCTTCAGGAGGAGGTAGGTTGGAAATCTGCCAATATGCTCAGAGGTAAATTATTAAACAAATATTCCAAGGATGTAACTCTAGAATATATTCAGAAGAGACAAGAACTATTGCCAAACACAATATGTAATTTCACACAAAACCAAGAATGCACTCCCGGAAAGGAAAGTGCTTATCTGCTGACCACCTGCTGCAGTTTGTCCCTCAGCAATTTACCCTAAGTGTCCAAAAAAGTCCTCAGAGCACTCTCAAACAAACATAACTCGCATTAATATCAAACAAAACTCATGTCAATAAAATCATTTGGCACCTTAGCTGATATGCACGTAAACAGAACTGTTTGCACTTACACAAAATGACACAAGATGCACATGCAGCACGTGGACTGCACTTTGATAAATGTGGTTGCCAGAGTGTCATGTCTTATTCATCACAAGCCTTAGGATGTAAAGGTAGGATGTAAAAGGAACGGCATGCAAGACGCATGGCTGAAAATGTGCTATTCATTACAAGTTACCGCAAGAACTTAAGATGCTAAAATGACCAAAAGAAAGCACTGGAGGGCTACAATGCTGTGTTTCAAGAAGGTCAAAAAATATACTGTGTCATAGTGTACAGTCTATGTGTAGTAATGGGAAAGCAACTGTAGGACTTTTGTCATGATGAGTCATTTATTCACAAATAGAAAATGTGAAAGAAGCCATTCTATCATTTCCAAAATGATGAAAAGAAGCAATGAGCTATGAAAAGCTGTGACAATATTTGGAACCACTCAGTATTATCAAATGTATAAGAAAGTCAAGATTTCATCACTACAATAGGAAACACTACATACTTCTTTCCGCCCCCACCTACAGACAGTTATCAAATGCTAGAAAGCTTCAGAGTGGAACGTCCCATAATTGACTGCTCTCTCATTAGTGTATCAATTTTTTCCCCTCTTCCTGAATAGAAAATATGACTTTGTGTCTCCGTGTATGTGCACTTATGTGTGATTGTGTGTGTCTCCCTGTCGTGCCTCTTGAGAAATTCAATTTATGGATGTCTTCTGCCAGTCACTTACTAATTTCTCTAAGCGTAGCGTCATGAGTGAAAAACTACTCTCCGTAAAATGGGCTTTGGGTTCAGGAGACTGCTTCTAAAAGCAGGTGCTCAATGGACAGAGGAGTGGAGATGAGAGGAGCAGGAGAGGAGTCCAGCGGGAGGCAAAGGAAGGGGTTAAAGCAAATGAAATAATGAGAAAAATGAAGACATAAGGTAGGGAGGAAATTTGAAGGAGCAAAACAGAAAGAAACCTGAAAAGAATAGAATGAAGAAAGAGGGAAGAGTAAAGGGCACGTTCAAAGGCTCAAAGCCTAGGTCTTTCTTGCCACTGACATCCTCAGTATAATATCTTATAACCTGGCAACCTTGGGAGAGGTTCCAAGAGAATTTTAATGGCACAGAAATTAAATGGCAGGACTATTACATCACAAGGAAAATGTTGAATGGCTGCAGAACTCAGAGATTTGCACTGTCAATTATTACATAATTTCAGAGGAAGCAAAGTGGTCTTATTTTAGCTGTTATTAACTGACACGCAAAAACTGCACATTCTAGACAATATACATAAGAAAAGGAAATAAGGAAGAATATTCAATAAAGGGAAATATTATGTACTCAATTTGCATAGGCTTTAAACTCCTTGGGAACAGTACCTCATTTGCATAATGTCCCATCATAGCCAAAATCAAATCAAATAAAAATGCATTAAAAGTTACCACTGATTTAAACTGGGTAATTTATTTATTTAATAAAAGCATGAATTAGCAAATATTTCATGTCAATATGCATGCCTTCATATAACATATGAATAACATTAATTTTAATGTTAAAAGCATTGAAAGACTGTGTTATGCAAAAGAAAAAAACCAGTCTTGTTCATATAAGCCAATTCTACGCACGCACGCACGCACGCACGCACACACACACACACACACACACACACACACACACACACACACACACACACACACACACACACACACACTTTGCTGCGATTTGATTAAATACAGACTGACATTTATATGCCGTATTTGTGTGTGTGTGGGTCTAAGTAAAGCATGTAAAACATGTGTTCTCAGACTTAGTATTAGTCATACCGTATGTACATCCTTACTTATTAGTGACAGTCACGCCTCAATAAAACCCTAATTGGTGCTAATGTGCTTTAATGTAGCAGTTGTGGCAGAAATAAAAATATAACTGAAGATTATAGGAGGCAGATAGTCACACCCACTTTCCTCTAACTCCCTAGCAAAGTTAAGGTGCTATGCTATCAAAGTGAATGGAATAGTTACTCTAGACCAGTGGAGTCCAAATCCAGGCCTCGAGGACCAGTGTCCTGCAGGTTGTAGATGTGTCCTTGATCCATCACAGCTGATTTAAATGTCTAAATTACCTCCTCAACATGTCTTGGGCTGTGTCCCAATTCAGGGTCTGCACGCTGAAGGCTAGAACGTCCCATTTCACAAGCCTCTCACTTCCGCACTTCTCGTACTTATAGTACGCACCATACGTAGTACGCGTAGTGTGCGTTCTTCAAGCGTGCAGACCCTGAATTGGGACACAGCCTTGAAGATCTCCAGAATACTGGTAACTAATCATTTGATTCAGGTGTCTAGACCCAGGGTGAGATCTAAAACCTGCAGGACACCGGCCATCAAGGCCTGGAGTTGGGCAAGTCTGCTCTAGACTGACATTTCCTATTTTGCTCATTTATTTTTCATGGAGACCAAATACTCGTGACTTAGAACAAAATCCAAGAAAGAGATGACACATCATTGTGGATATTAATTTATGTATATATATATATATATATATATATATATGTATGTATTTTTTAAAACGTTTTAAACTAAAAAAACTACTTTGTTATTGTTTGTTATTAAATCACTATTCGAAAGTGTTGAGTCAAAGATGGGGTTGACAACAAAGAACAGCACAGAAACAACATAAATCCAAGAGCATAAAATATATCTCTGCTATTACATGGTACTTGTTTACGAAGTAGGGTTCAGTTGGTGGTCTCTGGTCTACAACTGTTGCCAGCGGAAGCACAGCAGATTGATGCCTTACAGCCATGTGATTTGAAGCAGATGGCTACCTGGATGGCTGCACCTACATAAATTACTCTCAGCAATTAACTCAAGCCTTGTCCTGTATATAAAAAAACAGGGATTGTTCATAATACTGTGAGGTTTCTGCTAATTGTGGCTCGCTGATAGAGCAGTCTCAGTCACAGTGAAAGTGCTGATGGAATACTGTTAGAGAGCTTTAGGACAGCTTAATGGGCTTGGCCTCTTTGACTCATCAAGCCGAGCGATCAGAGAGAGTAATTGAGGGCAAGCCAAAGGCTAAACTATCTTTTGTACATTCACTATATTATTCTGTTACCTCTGAGATGGAAATTAGCCTCTGAATGTGATGAGCGGGATGGTTTGAATACATGTGCTGGATATTTTGTCTGAGCTAACGTAGTTCTGTGTGTATGTAGGACACCCATCTTTTCATGTGAGTTACAGACTTGCGTACTAACTTAACCAACACACATAGGATTTTAGGCTTCCTCTTTGATAACAAGGAGGCAAGATATTGAATGAAAGATGGAAATTGCCATTAAAATTCACACACTGCTCCACATGGAATTTCTCTGTTGCTACAGTATTTAAATACACCAAACCCAATCACAGAAAAATGAAGAGAAAAGGAAAATAACCCTAAGAGCTAAACACAAGCTGCATCAGTGCACACTGTTTTCCATGAAACAGCTCCTAAAAGTTTTTCCCTAGCCACTAAAGCGCTGGCCTAAATATCATTTTGTAGTTCTTTCCATAGTAATAATCAACAGTTTTGTATCCCCTGCAGCCTTCAAACTTGTGTTTACCACCAGGCTCCCTGCTCCTCAGCATTCATTATGTCATGTAAAATTAACGAGAAAAACCCCAGTCACAGTTCCTGCCAATTCAGCGCACTACCTCCATCAAAGGGGAGAAACTACTGAAAAACATTGCTGTTTTTTCCAGTTGCTGCAATGTGTATTTAGTGTTTATATGTGATTACATACTGTATGTGTTTATATGCAAGTGGAATGCAAAGTGGTGTAGAATATATACTACAATGCACTGTACATAGTTTTTATGTATCACCTATGGTGCAGTATTTTGCTCTTTTTAATTAGTCTTTTCCAAATAAAAATCTATGCTGAGAATCTTTTGCAAATTTATTGGAAGAAAGAATATGACTGACATTCAGAACCAATTTAGCATAGGTTAGTTCAGTTTCTAGGTATTTCTCTTGCTTATCTTTGCAATGTGGTAAATTTAACTGACTGGACATGATCTGGGAATCAAAAGCATGGTGACAGGGAATGCTGTTGCACAAGTCAAAGGGGAGGATCAGGTCAATGCAGAAATCTAGGATTGGAACAACTGGGTGTCTTCCTGGAGCTGGCTGTCTGGCCAAACTAAGCAACTGCCAGAAAAGGGCCTAAGTACATACTGCTAACAAGAACCAGATAGTTCTTTTCTAAATGTCACGCCTAAGGGACCCATCCATCACTACTAATCATCATGCCCGATACCATCCCAGTGGTAAGGCACGCTTGTGCCACATTCATGTAGAGTTGATGTTTTCTGTATGGACTAGTTGGGCTTCAGGGAATGGTTAACAGCTAAAATACAGACATATTCTTCAAGAAAGCTTTTTCCAAAGCACTCAGGACTGAATCAAAGTTTCACCTTTCAACTGGACATGACCATAAGCATATAGCCCCCTCTCAAAAAACAAACTGGAGTGGCAACTCTGTGAATGTCTTTGAGTGGCCCAACGACAACCCTGCTGTGAACTCAGTGAAATATCTCTGGAGAGACCTAAAAATGAACTCTGACCATCTGCATCAAAACTGACAGAGCTTAGGAGGATCTGCAGACAAGAATGGCAGAAAATCTCCAAATCTGTGTGCAAAGGTTCTTGTGTCCTACCCAATAAAATTCAAGAGTGCAAGAACTGCCAAATGGGCCTCAACTCAAGTACCATAGGTTAAATAAAAACATCAGAAAACTTTCTTGAAGTATTCGTCATAGATTAATTGGCCTTGCCTTACTCTTTAATGTGCTAACCTTTTTCATTCACCTTATAAAACCTTCTTTCTGTATTTTGCCATTCCTGCCTGTCAATCTTTTGTACTATTTCTTCTCTTGCTTTTTTGGACTTCCTTCGTCTAACTGTCTCCTCTGCCCTCTTCATGGAGTAAAGACATTGCGGAGATCCTCTCCTCTCCTCTCAGCCACTATTGATTCACAACTCAGTTTACTGAAATCAATAAATCACCAATTGCATCAAGTGGAGACTAGAGGGTGAGAAGGAAAAGGAGAGAGGAGATATAAAAGACAGACAAAGACTAAAAAGAGAGACAGAAAGTTGGGATATCAATAATGAAAAATGAAGAATTAAATTCAATGATTCTGCAACAGCCTAGATTGACAAAAGACCTTCAGAATCCTTCAAAGATGTAACAGACTCTAGACTAAAAATCCATTAGCCCATCAAGGTCTCACAGACTTTGATTTCATATATAAAAAAAGTACAGAGTCATCATGGGCTTGGGGATTTACTCAAACCAGCTAAGAGTAAATTAAAATAGACAACAGAATAAAAGTACTAGGGCTGTGTTTTTGTCGGCTGCTCTGATCCTTACTGACTGGCCTGGGGAAATGATTTTGCTCGATGGAGGAGATTGTGCTCAGATAGAGAGCGGTGGGGGTGGGGGAGGCATGATGGAGCTATCAGAGCTGGACTATCTCTCTAAGTTACTGTAATTTCATACAGGTGCCCACACATACACACACACCCACACACACATGCACACAAGTACACTTAGATACGGACCATCTTCCAACAGACAGACAGAGGTGTCTGGCATCATTAACCTGGCGTCTTCCTAATTCTGACAGATTGAGGCTGCTGCTTGTGTTATCGCTCTTTCTATCTCTCTGTGAGTGTCTGTTTGTTATAGTTTGTGTCCCCTATATATATGGTGTTGTTGCTGTGCCTGGGCTCTTGCTAAGTGAACGACTTTCAGTTAAACTTTGCCTACCGGAAAAGAAATTTGATCATTTTTGCCTTAACACACACATGTACAAATATGGGTGATTTAGAAATATTGATTTAGATTGAAGAACTATCTGCAAATAACCACAAAACCAACACAAGTTCTATATGAACAGCATAGACGACTCAAATCCTAGCTGTAAAACATGAAAAATAAACATGCAACACACCTCCTCAAACATAGGGAGCATGTGGTGGAGTACACACACCCACACTGTAGAGAAATGCGATGGAAATGAATGATGCTGGCACTAAAGTTGGTCTAGTTCTCATTAGAAATGTGGTGTTGGTGCTGGGTTGACCCTTACCTCCGAGGTGATAGGTTCCTCCCGTGGTGATGCTGAGAGGTGAGACGGAGCGCACAGCAGACACCTCCTCGCCGTCTATCGTCAACATGGCAAAGTTCTCCTTGGCAACCAAACGTATTGCATGCCACTGGCCATCATTGAGGCCCGAGCCTGGAAAAAAGCAATAAGGCAAAAGCATTTGTGTAAATCCCTGGATGTAATAATAAAACTTGCTGAGAAAAATAAAAATAAAAAAACAATAAAAAAAAGGCCCACCACACAAAACTCAATACTGGTACTTTTTACCCCCATAGGTCCAAGTTATTTCTTTTAATAGGAGAATATAGAAGAATATGTAAGGCCCTGACTGGGATTTGTCAATAAGACAATTGGCTGGGTGAGAGGTGTGTGGGTGATTCATTCTGTTATGTGTGGCTATCCCTCTCTGTTTACCTTCTACTTTTATATTCAGCATATGTTTTTCTCCACAACAATGGCACTCCTGTGTGCCTGCTGAATGTGATTCCAACAGAGTTCAGTGCTATCGAGGATCATCTTTCTGCCTCTATTTCGGCTTCCCCTCACTTATGTGCACAGTCACATATGCAAGTCCGTGCTCCTCGATTCTTCTCCCCTTCTCTTTTGTTCTCTCACTCCCTCTTTCTCCTGGCTCCCTTTTGTAGTCTCAAAGCCCATGTGACTCAACTCCATTAAGTCTCACAGAACCCTGTTTGCTGAGTATCCAAATGCATGTGTGTGTGCGTCCTTTATGTGTCTGCAACTTTGAGTACTTTTTGAAAGTGCACGAGGCTCTAATGTGTTGCTCTGTCTGCATATGTGTGTGTTTGGTGCATGCAAGTTCCGTGCCCTCCTTTCTTCTCCCTTCTCTTGTAGCTGTGCTCCATTAAATATGAGTGATGTTTTGGAAAGGGACATTACTACTGGAGCTGAGAGAGAAGCCAGCTTCCTTTCATTGCCCTCTCCTCTATACATCACCTCTTACTGACACCAATCTCTATTCATCCTTTCCTCCTCACCTCGATCGCTATCCCAGATTCCTCTATCTCTCCATCTTTATTTCCCTTCCTCTGTTTCTGCATTTAAAATTTCCTCTCTTTTTCTTTCTCTCTTCTCTTTTCTTCTCTACTTCTCTAAGTTTGCAGCCATCTGCTGCAGTGTCTTTCTTTTTCAATTGGGCTTAGCACACTGCCTCACTGATTGTAATACATCGATACCTGTTGAGGACACTGTAGCGAAGTTCAAGGTACGGTCATGTGTAAATCAGTCTTGGCAGAGCGCACCTACTCATGGATCTGCATGCACGTCAATACACACACTTTCGCATAGACGGTGGGCAAGCTTATGTCGGTGTGTTTGCATTTTTGTGTGGCGGCCTCTGTGTGAGTCCCCGCTGTCTGCAAGATGCACTCTCACATTGTTTACTTCTTCCCAGAATGCACTTGAAGACCCGAGCTTTCATATCAGCAGGGAGTCTGCACTAATTAATCTTCATCAGCAGGGTGGCTGTGTGTGCCTGTGCTTGTATGCCTGTGTGCGATCGAGGCTGTGACCAAAGAAATTAAGGGCCAAGATGGTCACTTGCTGAGAGTTGTGACCACAGCAGCCACGCTCAGGGCAACGTGGTTGGGCATGCAAAAATACACACTCGCATACATGGGACATGGTACCCCTTAAAATCGTAAAACCCTTTTTTTTAAAACTAGCTCTAGCAGGGAGAAAAATAAAATAATAAAAAATAATACTGTTAACAACGCTTTTTTGTCAGGAGGCCATGATCCCAAAACTAATAACGCAAAATCTAGAGGACAGTGTCTACATTGTCCGAGTGATAACCACAAAAAAGTTACTTCTGGCAGAAAGCGACCTTGATAACCTCCTTCAGTGACAATCACATTTCTGCCTGTATATTGGTTTGATGTAATCACTACCAAGCTCTCTCCTCCATCCTGTCCCACTCTCTATAACCTCTTGAATGTAATGGAAAATAGATACTGTATAACCTTGTGTTCCCTCATCTGTTTTACATCACCTGCAATAGCTTTGAATGATGAGCTTATCAGTGATGGCGATGTAACTGAACCTTCACACTCATGCACAAACAGACAAGTGCCTGCTGAAAACCTCATGCTCAAATATGCGATCCGTGTTCTCTCTCTCTGTCTCTCTTTCGATGTCAAAAGCACCAAATACAGTGGCTTGTAAAAGTATTTGGCCCCCTTGAACTTCTCCACATTTTGTCACATTACAGCCACAAACATGAATCAATTTTATTGGAATTCCACGTGAAAGA